AAATATCAAAGAGAAATTAAAAATACATGCTGTGGAAGAGTTCGGGTCTTACGAGGTTAAGGTTCACACTCCCTTGCTACCTACCAGAGTCCTCAAAGAGACAAAAGTTTCTTCCTGTGGAGCTGTCTGCTTCCCCCAACTTCCTACACCCCCACCATTTGTCTTATAGTATGAGTGTGAAACATGTTAAAATCCAGTGGCACCAAGGCATTATACAATAAAATAATGTGATTAATACATAAGTAAAAGAAATTCCTATACACTGTCAACTGTGATTGGTGTGTGCGAGTGTATTATGCTCAAGGAGCTTTTAACTGCACAAATGAGCAGATTTGTGAAGTTTAGCTTCAAAATGTGTTTTTATATGTTCATTATGATTTTGAAATATGCACTTGTAAATAGCTTTCTGTATGTTTACATTTCTGTGTGTTTGTGTGGAGCAGGGATTTGTGAGCACTCAAAATTCACACAGTGCACACATTTGTAAAATCTTTTTTTTTTAGATGATTTTGAGATGTATTATTTCCATAAAATATGCAACAGCCCAAAGAGAGTTTTACATGCATGTTTTTTTCTTAAAACCAAAACTCACTGAAGAAAATGAGTCACTAGTCCGTGCTGTTTCTTGATGTACCCGTGATCTTGTGGACTTATGACGGACTTGAGTCGCAGACCAAATATGGTTCAATACAAAATATGCTTAAAGCAAGTGAATACCTTATTTCTAGTGGCGACTTGTGTGGACTTAGTACCTTACTTACCACCTTAAAATACGAGTAAACCATTAAACAGGAGTAGCTACATTGTCTCACCTTGTTTTGTTTTTTCTTCTCACATAATAACAAACTGCTTCCACCTAAAGTTAAGAAATTAATCTGTGGGTTGGACCATATCAATAAAGCCATTTTTAGTTTCCCATTTACACATTATATATATTTGAATATTTTTAATATGTTATGTTTCATGGGTCATCTTTTTAATTTGCTGGTCTCTCAGAAAGGAAACTGTGTAAATTAAACTTTAAACTGAAGTCTATTTGTCAGCTCATTATTCTTTGTTGCGTTTTTTTAGGCTTTAATAGTTTTAACACAATTGTTTTTTGTTGTTGTTTTTAATTACAACATAAAGATCAATTTACAAAAGATAAGTACAGTAATGTGGGATCAAATAACAAAATCAGCGTTACGCAAAAATTTAAAACATGTATCTACACTCATCATATAACGTTTTTGGCACTGTGATGATGGAACAAATAGCCAAAACAAATAAAAAGTAATTTCAATGAAACATTAAGAAAGGCCGACTGGAAATAAACCATAGCTGACTGTAGAGTCCAGGATAAGCAGACAGAAGATCAAGTGACAATCCCAAAAAATTATAAAGAAAAAAGAAAAAAGAAACATGTGTACAGGGCTCAGGAGATACAGGAGGGGAAGACAT